GCTTGGGGCAGCCCTTGGCCTGGAAGAGCTGCAGCACCAGGTCCAGCACCCGCCCGTTGACGCGCCAGGCGCAGTTGCCCAGTTGGGTGAGAGCGTCCAGAGCGCCGTGCAGCGCGGTGGGCGGGCAGGTTTCCAGCAGCTCCTGGTGCTGCGTGGCGCCTTCCACCGTGCGCATCAGCTTGGTGGGGCTGAGCAGAAAGGCGCCCGTGTGCGGTGAAGTCCAGGGCAGCGGGGGACACAGCATGGGCACATCCACCGCCTCGAAGGTCAGCGTGGGCTCCGCGGCCGTCTCCAGCAGCTGCACGTAAGCCGGGTGCGGCTTCAGGACGCCGATCTGCGGTGCGACAGGCAGACGAGTCAGGGCCCCGCTGCCGGTGACTTCCTACCGCCGCCCTTTAAACTCGGTGAGAGAGACCGGCTCCCCCACCACCAAGAAACCAGTGTGGCCTCCCACGAACAGAAGCCACCTCTAGACACGGCTGGACAGCTGCGCGGACACCCATGGTGTGTCCCGAGTCCTGGGAGGTACTGATGGCTGCGCTGAGATCAAGGCACCACCCAGAGGCGCCAACCCCATGGGGTCCCTTGTCCCCCCAGCAGGATGCCCCCCAGCTCAGGAGGACACTGCTGTCCGGCACCTGCTGGACGCTGCGGAAGGAGTACACGTGGTAGAGCACGGGAACAAGCCGGGAGGAGCCGTGCTGGTTGTCCAGACTGGACGGCATCTGCGTGGCTTGCACCAGCATCTCCACCAGCTGCTTGCCCAGCTCCATCTGCACTGGCAGGGGCCAGGGCTGCTCCCGCAGGACCTCGGGCGCCCCCAGCGCCTCCCAGTACTGCCGCGGCAGGCAGGGGTTGGGCACCTGTGGGACAGGGCGGTCAGAGAGCTGGGCATCGGGACCTCCGACCAGACGCCCCACCGCCCGTGCCTGCTCCCCTGGTGGGGCCCTGTCAGCCCAAGGGTAGAGGAAGAGGCTGAGGCTTGGGGGCAAACCCAGTTGCCCCAGAGAGGGAGCGCGCCCACCCACCACTGGCCCCAGCCAGGAGGAGAGGGGGTGCGCGCCTCACCTTGGTGTCGGAGGCCAGCACGTGCAGGTACTTCCTGTAGTACGTCTCAAGCGCCTGCACCTGACCACTGAGCCGCTGCCTCTGCACCACATGCCGGCTGAAAGTGCGTGCACTCAGCTCCCGGGCCAGGGTGGTGAAGGACTCGCCCTGGGCGGGCAGCGCCTGCAGGACCTGGAGGAGGCGGCCGTGAGTGCCTGCCCGCCCCTCCCGGGGACCCGGCCACGCAGAGAAAGACGCACCTGCAGAAGCATCTGCACCACCTCGCGCTCGTCCAGCAGGCACAGGAAGGGGTACAGTGAGAACCGGCCCTTGCGCACCTCGCCCTCCAGGTGGTTCTTGGTCTCCTGCAGCACCCGGCACAGCGCTTTCTCCCAGTGGTCCCGCAGGGTCTGCAGGGTCTTCCGCTGCGAGGGACGAAGGGCCCGGTCAGCCCCATGGCAGCTGGCGGGACCCAGGCTCACAGGACGGGGGTCACCACAGCTCCCTGCGGAGACCTCGTGGCCCTCAAGGTCCCTGCTGTGTGTTCCGGGTAGCTCCTCACCCCGGCCTGCGCCCTCTGCCGGCTTCGGTGCGCCTGAGGCAGCCAAGAGCACAAGCCCAGCTGCAGAGTGCCCAGCACCACAGGCCGGGACCCAACCTCAGGACCCCACAAGCTCCCCCTGAGCGGCAGCCAGGCTGAGATCCTAGGCCTTGCATGCCCAGACCAGGGCATGAGCAATTCAACCACGTGCACTGAACTCAGCCCCGCGGCAGACACGGGACCCGGCTCAGCCCCCGCGGCGGACACGGGACCCCGGCTCAGCTCCTACCGCGTGTGTGACCTCCTTGCTTGGCAATGCAGGCTTCTCCACAGACACCACGCACACCTTGCTGGCCAGCTCCACGCAAAGCTGCTTCTCAAAAAGCGACTGCAGGGTCTTCAGGGGCAAGTGCAGCTTCGGGTAGGACACCGGCCCATCCTGCAGGGATGGGGTAGTGAGGTCGGGGGCTCAGCCGGAGGGAGACCTGCCCTCCTAGGACCCCGAAAAGGCACGGGTGCACGCATTTCTGCGTCTCGTGCAAATTGCTGACCGCCATCGCTGACGGGGAAAAGCGGGCTGCAGGTAAAGTCACTGCCAGTGGCCAAACCAGAGGCCTTGGCCCCTCCTGACCTCGGGCCCTCTAGATGGGACAGTGGGCATCGTCGTGGGGTGGGGTCGGTGGTGCTGGGAGCCGGCAGAGCCTGGGGAGACCATTCACTGCGCCCCCAGATGTTTGCTGTTTTCTCCTCAAACTTGGAACTGTGTGAATGTGACCCATCCAGAAATAGATGAATTAAAAATAACTAAAGCCCAGCACTTTGAGAATCAAAGGCTCAGGTCCACACAAAAGCTTGTACACAAACGTTCACAGCCGCATGACTCATAGTAGTCGAGAAGTAGAAACAGCCCAAGCGTCCATCAACGGACAAACAGACCAGCACGGTGCGGCCATCCACGCACCCGAGCATGACTCAGCCCTGACCCAGGCCGCCTCGCGGATGCACCGTGAGGACGTCACGCTCAGTGGGAGATGCCAAACACTAAAGGCCACGCAGTGTGCAGTCCCATTTCTATGGAATGTCCAGGGCAGACTCAGCCACAGAGATGAGGAGGGGATGGGGAGTGACGGGTGATGGAGATGAGGCTTCCTTTTGGGGTGATGTAACATTCTGGAATTAGACAACTGTGAACACACTAAAATCGCTGAATTACACCTTTAAGAGGGTTTTATGGCAGCTGAATTACCCCTCAGTGAAAGACAAGCACACTGCGTGCACCTGGCAGCCCCATTCGAAGGCGCTGCTCTCGCCTGTCACCCCACCCTGCCTCTGGGGCGCCCGACCACCTCATCAGCCCAAAGCCCACACCCTTACGCCCAAGACCCTCCCAGCTCTGGCTCCTTCAGTCTTCTGGGAGGAGGAAGGGAAGAATCCAGGGCCCGGCCCAGGTGAGCCCCGGGCACCAGGGAGGCCCACTGGTCTGAGCTGAGGCTCCAGAGACCCCTCAGGGCAGCTATGAGGACTGAAGTCCGTCTGCTGGACCCCACGTGGGCTCACCTTGGCATACACGTCCCTGAGCAGCATCGAGGTGTTGACCGCGGGCGGCGGCTGCGGCGGGAGGCTGAAGGTGGGCTTCACCTTGTGCACGGCCGTCAGCACAGTGGCCTGCTCCTCCTCGGACAGGGGCACGGCAGTGAAGAGTGCCTGCAGCTTCAGCCCCTCCTGGCTCATCTGTTCCAGACACCTGTGGGGCAGCAGGCCTGCCTGAGGGATGGGCCAGCCCCACGCTGGGCTTCCACAGAGCCCAGGGGCACCTCGTGGCCACCTCCTGCTAGCCTGCAGTTCTCAGTGCAGCTGTCAGGCCCTCCAGGGGTCCCCAGCCCCCAGCCTAAGCACTGTCCCAGATCTTAAGACCCTGGCAGGAACGTGGTGGGGGCTGGGGGCTG